GCAGAACGCCTCCAGCGCCGGGCAAACCACTCGCGCAGCTCCTGTGAAGAGAGTGGCTAGCGCGGAGACAAAGCACTCGGAGGACCTCCAGGCCCAGCACCGCCAGACGCCACATTAGCAGGCCCAGCGGCCGCCGGCTCCGCACCCCCAGGCTCAGCAGCTCCAGACGTGGCACCCCGAGGCTCAGCACCCCCAGGCTCAGCACCTCCAGTCTCAGCACCCCCAGGCTCAGCACCCCCAGTAGTACCACCCGGAGGCCCAGCACCCCCAGGCGTAGCACCCACACGCTCAGCACCCCCAGAGTCAGCACCCCCAGGCTCAGTACCCGCAGCAGCACCAGAGTCACCAGTAACCTCAATACGCTCGACTGCGTCTACCTGGGACACACCTAAAGGGGCAGGACCCTGAGGGGGGAGGGGGTCTACCGGGGGGGGACCTGGCACAAGGAAGAGCGGTGGTGGGGGGAGGGAAGGAGTGCGGTAGGTGAAGAGGCAGTAGTAGAGGACCGACTCGTCAAACGTGACGTCCTGGGAGGACAGAACACAACGAGAGGTGGGGTGGTAGAACTGCCACCCTGGCGCGTCAGGGGGGAAGCCAAGGAAGACGCAAGGAGCAGCACGAGGGGACAGCTTGTCCGCAGACAAGTCGCGGACAAACGTCCGAGATCCCCAGACACGGAACGCAGACGCATCGCCTACCTTCCCCGTCCACAGCAAAGCTGGGGAGGTCTCCGGCATGGAGACCCTTGGGTGAAGGTTGATCTGATGCGCCGCGCACCGAACCGCAAACGGCCACAGAAAATGGGGAGCAGCCGCATGCATCATGGACGTACGGGTGACGTCCATGACCATGCCAATGCGGCGCTCAGCAATCCCATTTTGCTGTGATGGGTCCGAAAGCGTAAAGGTTTGGCGGATTTCTCGCGCACGACACTAGGCTCGCAGAAGGCCAGAGGAGAACTCTCCGCCTCGGTCAGGGTGTACAGGCTTGACCCCGGCCGGCGCGTAAACGTGACCAGGTGCCGACCTGTGCGAGCGTCCGAGCAGTGGGTCACCCGCTGACTCGTAGGAGTAAACTAGTGAACCCCCGCATCCTGTAGGTCAGCACCACTCACCAGGTTCGTAGAGATCGAGGGGAGGTAAAGACCAGACAAGGTGCCAGAGGGGGCCGCCGAATACGGGAGGACAGTGGAGAAGTGAGAAAGGACAGGACCCCCAGAGGGGTCTGCCAGGGAGACTGCAACCGGCCGACCAAGCGGCGTGAGTGTGGTGCGGTCTCGAAAGAAGGAGCGAGAAGCCCCTGAGTCAAGTATGAAGGTGAGGGAGGCCGAAGCCGATGCAGTACCATAGAGCGCAGACTCACCAGCACCTGAGGACGCAGACGCACTGGCACCTAGAGCAGCAGCCGCACTGGCACCTAGAGCAGCAGCCTCACCAGTACCTAGAGCAGCAGTCTCAATGCCCGGGTCGGGCGGGAAACACCGGTAACAGTCACCCTCATCACTAATAGTCACAGCATACATGGCAGCAAGAATAGCATCAAAGTCAAGATCAAAGATAGCTACACCCGCCCTAGACAGCTCACCCCAGCGGGGGATCTCAGTGGCCTCCGGGAACTGGCGACGCCAAGCGTCCCTCAGGCGGCCAAAGCAGCGCTGGGTGGGGTGTGCACCCCCACACTGCTCACCCGCGCGGTCGCCGGTGCGTAGGACGTAGGTGCACGGACCGGTACCCCCACCACGCTGACGTGCAGCGTACCACTCACGGAGCTGCTGAGGGGGGGGGATGTCCCGAGAACGGTGCTGCTGCTGCTGGCGCTGACCACCACTGGAGCCGCCCCGCTGCGTAGCGCCACCCCGACCAGCTCCACCTCCTCCACCAACGCCTCCTCCACCTCCGCCACCACCGCCGCCTCCACTCCCACCGCTACCACCTCCGCCGCCTCCGCCTCCACTGCCGCCACCGACACCTCCACCCCCGCCACCATTCCCATCGCCACTCCCACTCCCTCCGCCACTGCCACTGCCGCCTCCACCACCCCTGCTAGCTCCTCCAGCGCCCCTGCCCCCCTTGCCCTTGCCAGAGCGGCGTCTCCCGTTGGGGGTGGACGCCGCACCGACCGACTCAAGACCAACGAGGTCGGTCGCAGCAGCAGAGGCGACAGAGGGCACAAGGGGGGAGGGGGAACACCCCTCAAAGATGGGGGTGCGAGGGTCACCACGAGAGGCTCCTACAGCGACCATGTCAGAGACTAATGCACATGAATGGTTGCATTGACATCAAACTAAGTACAAGTATAACCCTGATTGGGTCGTACCCCATATAGGCTACCCCACTATAGCCTACACAGCATAAGCAACATTATAATTTGACACTAAGTACTATTTGAATATTTGTCCGCATGCATGTCTATTATAGCTGACTGAATCTAGGAGATTTTCCTTTGATACATCTTCTACTATGACAACATTCCTGCTGTTGCTGAGTTGTTGGTTGTTGCTGTTGCTGTTGCTGTTCTTTTTATTGTTGTTGATGCCATAATGGTATTCCTTATCATTTTGTTTGTTTTTCCTGGGGTTTCTGCTTGTTTGTTTGTGTTGTTTGTTTTGTTAGCTATGTTATTTCTCACCGCCATATTAATGGCCCCACGCATGGTGCCGTTTGGCACTGATAATATACCATGAATGAACGCTGCTGTAGCTTCATGTTTCTCAAGGTATTGTGAAGCATGCAGAGAAGTCACCATCCGCGAAAGTAATCTGGGAAGTGAAGCCGCAAATAACGGGTTATTGGTTTGAATATTTGAGCGTATTGATTCGCGAAAACAGAGGTGGATACAAGGTGGAATGCTGTGTCGTTCACCAGCTTCGTCACTACATGCTGACCGAATGAATTAGAAGTTTGGCTGGTCCTGGAATTTGAATTCTTTGACTGGATGTCTTTGCCTCTCGTCGCGTGACCCCAAGATGGGGTTTCGCATTTCATCCAACCTTGACGCGCCGTCCTGTCAGGTATTCCGTCCGATAAAAACTCCGACGGCCAGGATGCAATCAGAGCTCCACAGGAGTGTCGACTTGGGAATAACAGATCCAGGAGATGAAGGCCACCAACAGGAGAGAGCATTCGCGCCTGCCACGTGTCCCCGACCACCCTTGAGAGGGCCGAAATTGTTTGGGGTTCGCGTCAAGATGTGTCTCTGTCGAACTCGCTACGACGAATCTCGCCAAACTCCCTCCCTCCTCACCTAGGGTTTCCGTCCCAAGTCGTCGGTACTTATTCATCTGACTGGACTAGGAATGCTGCTGGCCTTGGACCGAGACGACTATGTAATTTTGCGAAGGCCAAGCCTAGTCACTAAATGAAGGTCGGCGTGGTATTAGGGCCTGGAAAATCTCAGTTCCGTAAACGTCTCGCTTATGTCACAATTGCGAGATCGGACGATTTTTGGTGGAGGCAGCAGAGTTGGGGAGGTCGCATTAAAGTTGGAGGAGGCTAGCGAGCAAACGACAGCTTAGGGAGTAAAACGAAGCAGCCATGACGCGACCCGCCTTGGGATTTGAGCGGGGTAGACGAACATCCGGGTCGGCAGCACCTTCAGGCACCCATGGAGGGGGTAAGCGTGCTATGCTCTGCTCTCTGCGGAGAGAGCTTAGAAGGTTGTCATAAACATTAGGTTTCGTTTTAGGGTCAGCGGAACTTTCGTTAGATGCAGCGTAGGGCTTAGTGGGGCCTAGCGCCGATTTTCTTCATCTTAAGGCGTCAGTGGGCTCTATTCACAATAACGGTGCACGCAAAGTAGCACCAGGTTAGCTCGCGATTTTAGTCCTTGCTTGACGACCGCTTCGTCGCATAGACTACCATTGCACGTCTGCGCGGATCTAGTCGCCTTAGGTTCATCTGCGGCAGTTTTTACACCCCGTGAGCGTCGGCAGTTTCACGTGCCCCTTGTTCCCGTTAAAAAAAAAATATCCATCAAAGGTAAATTCTAGGAAATAGCGCGTCGTTAATGACAGTCTTTTGTCGCGAGAAATTGCTTAGAATCGCGTATTATATGTTTCTCGATTTTAGGGTCGGTTTCACGATGCGGGAGGCAGGAAATCCGCTACGCGAATACCCGCTCAACATCAGGGAAACGTCCACATTCCTGTTATGCGCATGCGTCGCGCCGTTAGTTCTATGCGCCTCTGACGTACGTAATAGGGCGTGCGAGCATTTTGCTTGATCACCCTCGCGAGCGTGCTTTGAGCAAGTAGTTGAGCAAGTACGCTGATGAACTTTGACCCACAGATAGCGTTAAGAGACGTCGTAAGTAGTTGGATGGTTATTTGATTTGCTTAGCATTGAAAGGCAGCAGGATTAGTGGCAAATGCACGGTTCGCACGGTTCCGCGCACGATTAGCAGAGTGTCGTGTTATTTTGTTAGCTGCTCGTTTGTTAGAATTCGATGCAGTTAGTTCGGAGGAGCTCGCAGCAAAGAGCGAAGAGGATGAAACCACGGTTGCGACATTAGTCTCGATCTCTTGGAGATTCCAGTTTCCCTCGTGACCTCGCGCTTTTCTTCCGCGAGCATCATTCCGCCTCAGCGCCACCTTTCAGATTGCTAACTATTCCCCTTGTAACCCGTTTTCTCTGCTCTTATGCCATTCGCGTGTGCAGAAACGTACCACTCGGGGAGTGGCGGCTCAGGCGTCGCGTTTGGATCAAGGCAAGGCCGGCAATTCTCAGCGTCGTCCTTACTCTCAATCTCTCGCTCTGCTTTCACTTCTCTCTTTCTCTCTATCGCCCTGTCTTTGATCTCGGTCATCCATCCATGATCCAGCCGTGCCACTTGTCCGAATGTCCATCCGTTTGAATCTCAAAGCACAACTTACCTGTTATTACACGCGATCTCTGTCAGCCAGCCAGCCTCACTCTTTACCTCATCCTCAACCTCAGCCGTTTCTTACACCGAGCTTTCCTGCACTGACCATGGCGGATGTTGCGCCCGTGTTTCCCATGCACATGGATACCAGGCGGTCAGGCCAGGTGGTGCCCTATCGATTGCGCTGTGACCACGAGCCACTCAGCAACAGGTACGAAGGACCTCCCTTCTTCGTCCCTCCCCTGCCCATCTATCTAACCCCCACCCCACCCTGTGGACACACTCATCTTTTCGTGAAACCCTTAGTCTCGACCCTCGTTTCCGTGACCCGTTTGCTGGCGTCTGTGACCACGGTTCCTCCTGAGTCGCCCCCCGCTGCTGCTGTTGCTGCTGCTGCTGCTGCTGCTGCTGCTGCTGCTGCTGCTGCTGCTGCTGCTGCTGCTGCTGCTGCTGCTGCTGCTGCTGCTGCTGCTGCTGCTGCTGCTGCTGCTGCATGTGTGTGTGTGCGTGCGTGCAGAATGGGTCCGCCTGAGTTCTACGCGCCCAACGAGGGGGACATGGAGGAGGTGATGACGCCCAGAGTCATACAGCACGGCTACAGAGAAACTGTCCCAGGAGTCGACGTGAGTCTCCCCTTTCTGTCCCCCCCTGGCTCCATATCTGTCCCTTCCCCTCGTGCCCTCCCCGTTCCGCTCCCCCTCCCCCGCTCCTTCGTTTCCCTCTTCGCCTCGCCCCTTCCCCCCCTTCTTCGTTCCCCGTCTTCCCCTCGCCACCCGCGCTTCCCCAAACCCGTTTTCGTCAAAGTTCCACGTGTTCGGTTGGATGCCCAGCTTTGCCGGAAGGTCTTAGGCTTATAGGTGTCGTGTCGTCACGCTGCTCGGCGCGGTCACGTCACGCTTTGACGGACTTACGCTGCTCTACCCTTACTCCCCACGCTGCATGATTGCTTCTCTTTCTACATTGCCTTCCACGTGCACCCATGTCCACCCACGTGCACCCACATCCTCCTGTGCTTGCATTGCATGCTGCCTCCCACCACTGTGCGTTGTTGTGCGTGCAGGAGGGCACGGAGGTCACGTACTCGCTCCTGTCCACGCGTGGCTTCTGGACGCGCAATAACGTCTCCAACCTCCGAACTGTAGGCACCGCCACCGCCACCGCCACCACCACCGCCACCGCCACCGCCACCGCCACCGCCACCGCCACCGCCACCGCCACCACCACCGCCACCACCACCGTCACCGCCCTTTCCTTTCAGCTCGAACCGTGCCGTTTCGCCAGGGTCTAGCCCCAACCTGAACGGGAATGACTTGGAACTCATTGCGCGCAAGTTGATGCCCTGTCCTTGCACGCTCGCACCTACCCTACGCCTCCTACCCTAGGCCTCCTAGAACTCCCTTCCTCACTATTGTTTTTTGTCTCTTGGTTGGTCGTTTGCGTGTGTAAATCTTCCTGAACAACCACCCTTCCCTGCAACCCCCTTTCCCCCCTCCTTGGCGCAACTGCGCCTATGTGCTCTCCAACCAGGCTATGCACAAGTGCCTTAGAGCACTTAACAACTCTCTGGTCCGCAAGCGCAAGGTAAGGTTGAATTGAACCTGACGTGCTGTCTGTTGCGCGTGAGAGTCACGTTGGTGATGCTGCTTGCGCGTTCACGAATTTCCGAGTGTATTCTTCTGACTGACTGGTGCCTCTCGTGTCTTTGTGTTGCTCTTGCTCCCTGTGTGTGAGGGTTTTCTGTGCGTGCGTGCGTGTGTGTGTGTGTGTGTGTGTGTGTGTGTGTGTGTGTCCGTCTGTCTGTCTGTGTGTGTGTTTGTGTGTGTGTGCATGCGTGCGTGCGTGCGTGCGTGCGTGTGTGTGTGTGTGTGTGTGTGTGTGTGTGTGTGCATGGTGTGTTTGTGTTTGTGTGCGTGCGTGTGTGTGCATGCGTGCGTGTGCTTGTGCGTGCGTGCGTGTGTGCGTGCGTGCGTGTGTGCGTGTGTGTGCGTGCGTGTGTGCATGCGTGTGTGTCGGGTGCGTGTGTGTGTGCGTGCGTGTGTGCATGCGTGCGTGTCGGGTGCGTGTGTGTGTGTGTGCGTGCGTGCAATCCGTGCGTGTCGGGTGTGTGCATGTGACATCAGACGGGGCAAGTGTATGGAATGCCTTTGTCAGGAGCCATGCTTACTCGTGCTGGGGCCTTCCCAGAGCAAAAGACATTCTCAGAAGATGCACGTCGCAAGTGGATAGAGGTACTAGCTCGTCTCGTCTCCCCTCCCCTTCCCCGCCTCCCACACCCATCCCCCCAACTGTACATTCCCTCACCTTCTCTCCTGTTCCGCCGTACTAGTCTTTCCCACGTCGTCTCACGTACACCTCCCATTCAATCTCAAACAGCTTTTGAGACGTCCTCAAAACTCCTCCCTTCCCGCCCCCCTCCCTCCCCCCTGTCTCAGGACCTGTCTGGTTGCAAGCGGCTTCGTGTGTTGGGGGGCGCAATACCCCACGGGCTGCTGAAATAACGACTTTTGGGGCGTCCCAAAACTCCTCCTTCCTTCCCGCCCCCCCCCTCCCATGCGTGTCTCAGGACCTGTCTGGTCGCAAGCGGCTGCGTGTGCTTGGAGACGCAGTGCCCCACGGGCTGCGCAAGAGGCAGCTGCTGGAAGCATTGGTGCAGCAGAGGGTGCCCATGGCGCGGGCTACCTGGTACATACGCTGCGTGCTGCTCAACCAGGTCAGTGGAAGGAGATGGGATGAGTTTGTGAGTGAATCTCTGAGGCGCCTCAAATCGTTTTGAGGCGCCTCAAAAGCTTGTGCAGCTGAGGGTGCCCATGGCGCGGGCTACCTGGTACATACGCTGCGTGCTGCTCAACCAGGTGCGTGAGATGAGATTAGATGAGATGAGATGAGATGAGATGAAGCCGAGATGAGATGAGATCTTATGAGTTTGTGAGTGCGCTTCTAAGCCAAGGTGTATTGAACGCCGTGGTCGGGGTGGGCAGGGAAGGCCACCTGCTGCTGCTAAGGGCATGCATGTGTTACACTGTTCGCTGGTGATGCAGGTGAGAGACCGTCGCTTTATTTGCCGTCACTCCTGCCAGCCCCATACGTCTTCATTTGCGCATCTATCATTCAACACTTTTGACACCTTTCCAACCTTTCTTTCTTAAAAAGGTCAGCTTCAGCCGTAGGAGCCTGCACAATAACATGCTCTTGCAACCTCCTGTCCCTCCTCTCCTTGTTTTCCTCTCTCCGCCCCCCCTCCTCTCCCCCCCTCCCCCCACCCCACCAACTCTCCTCCGGTTCGGGGTTGTTAATTTCAAACTCTGGCTGCACCAGGTTCGTCCGGCAGGAGGGCCGGGTGGTGGTGGTAGTGGCGCCAGTGGCTTAGGTGGCAGCGGCAGCAGCAGCCTAGGCGGCGGTGGCGGCCTGGGTAGCAGCAACGCGGAGAGGCAGCAGGTGAAGCGAACAGACCACTGGACGGCTGATCTGCTAGAGTTTGCCAAGCAGGTGTTAGAGGAGGTGGCTTCTGGGACAGGTACAGCTGCTGCTGCTGCAGCCAATGCAGCGCCAGGTGGTTCTGGCAGTGCTTTTCTCGGTAACACAGCTGCAGGCACTGCTGCTGCCGCCGCCGCCGCCGCCGCCGCCGCCGCCGCTGCTGCTGTTTCTGGAGTTGCTGGGGTGGCTGGAGCGTCTGGTGCTGCTGGTGCATATGCCCAGAGCCAGGACAGCACATGGGGCGGAGTGTGGGGCTGGGGTGGAGAAGCGGAAGGGGAAGGGGATGGGGCGGGGGAAGGAGTGGGGGAGGGCGCGGAGTGCGAGGCGACAGGTCGGTGGGAGTACATATGTCGATTGTTAATGTGGCATTTGTGTGAAGGGCTGGTGAGCCGAACCATCCTGGTTGACTGGTTGCTGAGACAGCTGCAGGAGAAGGAGAGTCTTCTAGTTCTCTCCTGCCTCATGCCTCTGCTGCTGGAGCTTGTACCCGTTATAGCCATGTCCCAGGCGCATCTACGGGCGCTGGTAGACGCGTGCCTGTCCTGGATTGACCTTCTGCCTCACGCCTTGCCTTCGTCTGTGCCTCCTGCGGCAAGTGGGGCAGAAGCAGCGCCGATCCCTGCAGCACTCGCAGGGAACCGCACACAACCTCAGAAGAAGCAGCTATACCAGCAACAGCAGCAGCAGCAGCACCAGCAGCAGCAGCAGCAGCAGCAGCAGCAGCAGGCATCACAGGCGCCATTTCCTTCCCAGAACCCCACATCACCGCCCATCTCCCCTCTCACTCCGCTCCAGCCCCTCTCAGGTCCCTCCACTCCCATGGACGTATTCTCCCCGCTCTCGCCCCCTGCCCCAGCAGCAGGCCCCGCTGGTGGTGGTACTGGCGGAGCAGGGGCAGGGGCAAGCGGGGGAGGGGGACCTAGTGGCGGTGGTGGTAGGGTGGACTTGGATGGGCACGTGCAGGGGAAGGGCTCCTTTCCAGGGTCAGAGGAGACGCATGCGCTGGCCCTATGTCTTGCCGGTGTAGTGAGGATTCTCCTCGTGACTGCCCCAGACTCGTTTGTGGGCCTCAACTGCTTCCCCCTGCCGCCTCTGGTCTCCTATGCTGCTCCTGCTATGGCCAATTTACCGCCCATGGATCAGCTCTTTCCCTCACCAGCCGCTGAATCTACACTCCAGCCGCCTAGTCAGTCCCAATCGCACGCCCAGACTGTATCTGAAAACGCCCAAATTCCATTCGGAAACAACAACCAACCTGTTGCTATGCCAGTCTATACTCCTCAACCATCCCAGTCACCGGGTGAAGCAGGTGGTGAGGGTGCCGCGAGTGCTCCTGGGCTGGATGGTTCAGGAGCGTGGGTTTCAGATCCGTGTAGCGACTTAGGCTCAGCTATGGAAGCAACAACGGCAGAAGCAGGAGTGGTGGCAGCAGCAGCTGTTGAAGCAGCAGAAGCAGCTCAACGGGACGATTTGAGTGGTGCTGGCGGGTTGAATGCGGTGGGAACTACTGAATTTGGTGACGGGGTCGGGGGCATGGGTAATGGTGAAGGCCCTATGGAGGATAATGCTTCTGCTGCTGCTACTGCGAACGTTGCTGATGCAGGGACTGGAGATGCTGATGCTGCTGCTGCTGCTGATCCCAGCAGCAGCATGCCAGGTGGCGCAGCAGACACAGCCGCAGCGCGGGCAGACGAATTGCTGTGTGACTCTGCTCTGGGAGACGTAGTGGATGGAATAACTGCGCGCGCAGCAGCTCTTGCAAGCAGTGTCAACCCGTGCGTTCTGCGCACAAACGAGGGGAAAGTGGGAGAGGATCTGGAGCGAGCGTTGCGAGGGCATGATGTGGAGGGAGCAATAAGGTCTCTGTTCCTGGATGGGGCGTTTAGTGAGCTCTGCTGCGCTTCTCTGGGCGTCGTCAGTGGCCGAAACGCGTCATCTGCATCATCCTCATCGTCAGCAGCAGCAGCATCAGCAGCAAGAAGGGGAGGAGAAGGAGGAAGGGGAGGAGCAGCAGCAGTGGGAGCGGACCTGCGAATGGGGGAGGGTGAAAGAGCAGTAGGAAGGGAGGGTGCAGGGGTGGAAGGGGAAGACTCTCAGGCTGCAAGGAGGGTGGGCTGGAGGAGGGAGTGGATGGGGGGTGACGCGGTTGCGGTGTGCTTTCTTTTGGAATGGGTTGTTACTGGTGGGGGAGGGGGGCGGCCTCAAAGGTGGAAGTTTCTACAGCTGTTTGGTGGGAATGGTAGTCCCAGCAGGGGGAGCCGGGGCAGCAGGAGCAGCAGCAGCAGGCTCAGCAAGAAGCAAGGGAGGTCAAGAAAGCCTAAGCCTCTCCGTCCTTCCACAGGGCGTGCTTTGCCTCTCTCGGACTATGCCCGCGTGTGCTTTGCTGTCTCGGTTCTCCGCACGTATGCGTCCAGCTTCCTGCCGCCCAGCTTGCCTTCCCTTTCCCAACCGGCTGTAGCAGACCTTGCTGCTGATGCAGGTGCCAGTACGGATCAGTTCTGCACAGTCAGCAGCAGCGTACCTACAGGGATGGCTGAGCGGGAGGGAGGGGCGGCGGGTAGGGAGGGGGAAGCGATGGAACATGACGGGTTTGAGGCAGAGAAGGATGAGGGGCAGGAGAAAGAGGAGGGTTCGGAGGAGGAGGAGGAGGAGGAGGAGGAGGAGGAGGAGGAGGAGGAGGAGGAGGAGGAGGAGGAGGAGGAGGAGGAGAGGGAGGAAGAAGCGGAAGGACAAGGATGTGGGGAAATGAGGATTGAAAACGGTAAGAATGTTTTGGAGGCAGAGGAGGAGGTTACAGACGTCGGCCTTCACGACTTGATACTGGAGTGGCTGGAGAAGCGATACTGTGTTGTGGTAGGAGGTCCGGGTGGGGCGAAGCAGAGGCGGCAGCTGCTGCACGCGCTGTTGTGTGAGCTAGTACAGCAGGGGCTGTTTGGGCCAGTGCTTTATATGAAGCAACTGTTAGCTGATGGTCGATTGGAGCCTCCTGCTGTTTCAGCTGCTGGGAGGGCGCCAGCAGCAGGAGCTGGAGCAGGAGCAGGTAGAGGAGCAGGTTTTGCTGCGTGGACCGTGGCGTTGCAAGGGCAGGCGTGGGAGCGGTTTTGGGGAACGCAGAGTCACCGGGAGTGCTTGCACCTGCTGCCACACCCGCCGCAGTTGATGCGCCTGCTTGCTGCGTTTCCTCAGCAAAAGCAGGAGCAGCTGGAGCAGAAGCGGGATAGCAGGGCTGGGGGGGGACCTGATGGGCTTAGATTTCAGGGCTCGTTCCAGCAGCAGCAACCGCAGCAGCAGCAGCAGCAGATGTTTCCTGAAAGAGGGTTGTTTTTTAGGGCTACCGATGGTGAGGGCAGGGAGGGAGGGATGGGTGTGGGAAATCTAGGCGAAGAATTGGAGTTAGAGGACGAATGGGAAGGCAGGGTGGGGTTGGTGCAGGAAAGGGAGAGAGCGGTTGCAGAGGCTGTTTGGTCGTTTGAGACAGAGAGGGTTTTCACTATGAGGGCTGGAAGTTGGGTGAAAGGAGGGAAGGGAGTGAAAGGAGTGAGAGGAGTGAAAGGAGTGAGAGGAGTGAGAGGAGTGAAAAGAGTGAAGGTAGTGAAAGGTGTGAAGGGAGTGAAAGGAGTGAAGGGATTGAAGGGAGTGAAAGGAGTGAAAGGAGTGAAAGGAGTGAGAGGAGTGAAAGGAGTGAAAGGAGTGAAAGAAGTGAATGGGAGACCTCGACGAACATCTGATGGCAAGCTGGGTGCATGCGAGATTCGGGAGGTACGTGAGTTAGAGAAGAGCAAGCAGCCGGGGAAGGCGAAGAATGCGGTGCAGAAGAAGATGAAGACGAAGAAGGGAAAGAAGGCACAGCAGAAGCTGCAGCAGGGTGAAGGAGTTGGTGTGAAGTTTGAGGCAAAGCCAGGGAGGAAGAGGAAAAGAGCGGAGGGTGGGGAGTCAGCAGTAAGGACGGAAGGGCAGCTGGTGAAGAAACGCCGGAAGATGGTGGGATCCGAGGGAAGGCAGAAGAAGAGAAGGCGGTCGGAGGAGAATTCTAGTAATGAGAAGATGTGTGCTCAGGGACAGAAGGCTGGTAAAGTGGTTGGGAAGGGAGGGAAGAGGGAAGTGAAGAAGGTGGGGAAGGAGAGGGGATGTGTAGGGAAGAAGAAAGGGAGAGTAGGGAGAGTAGTGAAGCAGGAGCTGATATCAGGAAGACAGAAGGTGCAGGTTGAGGAGCAAAGAGAGAAAGTAGGGAAGTCGAAGTTAGGAAAGCGAAAGATGGAATTAGGGAAGCAAAAAGCGGAACCAGGAAAGGAAAAGGCGGAATTAGGTAAGCGAAAGGGCAAGGTCGGGAAGCAGAAGGGCAAGCTAGGGAAGCAGAAGAAGTTAGGAAATCAAGAGGCGGAATTAGGGGAGCAAAAGGGCAAGGTAGGGAAGCAAGATGACAAGGCAGGGAAGCAGAAGGGCAGGTTAGGGAAGCAGACGAAGTTAGTAATGAAAAAGGCAGAATTTGGGAAGCAAAAAGGCAAGGTAGGGAAGCGAGATGAGAAGGTAGGGAAGCAGAAGAAGTTAGAAAAGCAGAAGGGCGGATTAGGGAAGCTGAAGGGCAAGGTAGAGAAACGAAACGCGAAGGCAGGGAAGCAGAAGGGTACTATAGAGAGACGGAAGGCTAAGGTAGGAAAGCAGAAGGCTAAGGTAGGAAAGCAGAAGGCTAAGGTGGGGAACCGAAGTGCCAAGGTAGGGAAGCAAAGTGCCAAGGTAGGTAAGCAAAGTGCAAAGGTAGAAAAGCAAAGTGCAGAGGAAGGGAAGCAAAAGGAGAAGGTAGGAAAGCCAAAGCAGGTGGTGGGAAAGCGGAGAAGGAAGGCAGACAAGTCAAGGGCTTTGCCACAAGAAGTCAAAGTGAAGAAAGCTAAGCAAAGGTATTGGCTAGGCAGAAGGGGAGTGAGAGTACGAATCGGCTGGGGTCGTATTGCGGATAGACATGGCGGTGGGGGAGGAGGGAGAAGAGATACTGCGGAGACGTGGGGGGAGAAGCAGTTGAGAAAGGCAGTTTCGAAGCAGCAGATAGTTACGGGGGACTGTGTGCTGGCGTTGCTTGGGTTTGGAAGGAGCAGAGGAGCAGTGGGGGCAGTGCAGGGGAGTGAAGAGAACACGAATAACGGAGTGAGACAGGGAGGTAATGTTGAGTTCTGTGGTCGGAATGTTTCTACTCGAGCTGCTTTTGCTGCTCATCCTCCTTCTCCCCGCTTTCCTCGCCCTGCTCCAGCTGCTCCTCCTCCTCCTCCTCCTCCTCCTCCTGCTGCTGCTACTGTGGGGGAGATGTTTTCCTTTCATAGAGTTGAGGCACGGATTGGGAAAAACGTCTCTGGTGTGTGGATAAACGAGAGTGTGAGAGCAGAGGAAGACAAGCAGCCAGATACGGTCCGGGAGGAGCAAGAGCGAGAGCAGGAGCAAGGGGAGGAGGACGAGGAGGCCTGGTGGCAGAACGAGCGTATCCGGAGTCAATGGGAGAGGGACGGGGCGAACAAGGGAGGAGGGAAACCTCGAGGCAAAGCGCACACAGGACTAGTGAAGCAGGAAGCGGGTGAGAGAGGAAAGAGTTCTGGTGATGCGTTTCAAGAGGAGCTGGGAAAGGGTAACCAGGCCGCAGGAGAGGGAAGCAAGAGTGGGTCGCAGTGGCAGTGGCAGGGGCAGTGGCAGGGGCAGTGGCAGGGGCAGGGGCAGGGGCAGGGGCAGGGGCAGGGACAGTGGCCGGGCCAAGAAACGCTAGACGGAAGGGGCATGAGAACAGGCGCACGCGCACATCATATGACTCATGCTCACCAACAGAATCTCCACCCGGATCACATGCATGGGTCAACCAAGCCCTTCCCAACAGCCAAGCTTGACTGTGCCAAAGTCTTGGTGCGCAAGCTGCCGTCTTGGCGCTCAGTTACCAAAGCCCTGAACCGGCTCTCTCCGCGCGACCGCCTCTGTCTCACCCTCCGGCTCACGTCCGCGCTTGTTGGATCTCTCCCTACAAGGTTCTCTCCTGACCAAATCCTGCAGGGACCTGTAGGGGTGGTGTTGAGCTGGGTGGAGGAGGAGACTCAGGTGTTGGAAGCAGCGGCTGCAAAAGCTGTGTCGACTGCTGACGCTTTAGTAGCGGCAAAAGCAGCGGCGGCAGAAGCTGCATCGAAAGCAGATGGAAAGACGGGGAAGAATACTAAGAGTGGGCGGGGCAGCAGGGGTTCTCGTAGGGGAGCGAACGCGACAAGAGAGCTGGCGGCGGCTGCTGCTGCCACTGCAGCAGCTACAGCAGCTGCAGCGGCTGCAGCGGCTGCGGCTGCTGCAGTGGCAGCAGCAGCTGCTTCCCCGGCTCCTTCACCCTTCACTGCCCCTTCTCCTTTCATGGCCCCCTCGCCTCTATTTGCGCCGTCCCCGCTATTCTCTCCTTCTCCTCTCTGCAGCACTCCGTTCTATAACGCGGATTCTCCTGCTCCTGCTTCTAGGGAATCTCTTGACGGGACGGTAACCGGAGCGATAGCAGGCGAGCACTCCGGAACAGGTGCAGGAGCGGCCGGGATGGGTGCAGAGGAGTGGGTGGTGGGAGAGGAGGAGTTACAGCAGGTGCTGTATGTCCTTGATACGTGCTCCGATTACCGTAACCTCACGAGATTTCTGCTCATTGTTTTGGCCCTAGCCCGCTCCAGCGAGCATAGGGGCACCGTGGGGGCAACAGAGCATGCACTGCTGCAGACCCAACACCCCGCGGAAGGCCAGGTGCACGGGGGGAATGCACCTGGGTATGGGACTGGTGGTGGGGTCAGTGTGTTCTGCATTCGTCCGGGTTTTGAGGCTGGTTTGACTGGTGGACCGTGGGGGGTGTCTCGTTTTCAGGGGACTGCGAGCACAGCAGCAGCCGCTGCAGCAGGAGTAGGAGGTGCAGGAAGTTTGGGGGGAGTGGTTAGCAGTGGGATCAGCAACAGTGCTGGTGCTAACGGTGAGGAGACTGCTGCTGTTGCTACTGGTGGCGGTGGTGGCGCTGGGTTGTGTACAGGGTTTCCTGTCTCGGAAAGCATTCCTATTCGAGGCTGTGTGGTTGTTAAGTCTTGTGTGTTAGTAGCTTGCCTGGAGCGGTATGAGTCGATTTTTGTCTCCCTCGCGCAATTGCCATCCCTCCTCTCCCTGCTTCTTCTCAAGGCAAGACAGTCCCTAGCCTTTTGTGCAGTGCAGCAAGTCACTCCCTCTGTTGCTGCTGCTGCTGCTGCTGCTGCTGCTGCCGCTGCTGCAGCTGCAGGTGGCATAGGCCCTACCCCAGGTGTACCTACCCCTGGTGCTTCTTTTGTAAGCCACCAAACGGGAGGGGGAGGAGCAGCAGCAGCAGCAGCAGCAGCAGCAGGAGGATGGGGTGGAGGGAGAGGAGGAGAGAGCGGCCCACAGGAGCAAGGGGAGGAATCGGGCTTGTTTGTCATGGATGGGGGGGACGACAGGGATTTGCACCACCTAACGGATTTCATTGGGCGGTTATTGCAGCGCTATGCATCGTCCTCTCCTGAAGTGAAGGAATGGGAGGTGGCTGCTAAGGAACAGTCGCAACCGCAGCTGTGGGCTCACATTGATGCCGCGAGAAAGCGGGCTGTGATGGAGGAGGAAGGGAGGGAGGTTGCGGGGAGGGAAGTGGTTGGAGGCGACACAGAGCGGTTCGGGGTGTCGGGGCCTGGGCTGGGAAAGAGTGGGGGTGCGGGTGGGAAAGGGGGCTTCGGAGAGGGGGAGGCAGGTGCAGTGGAAGCGTCGTTAGAAAGTCATTTACGAGACGTATTGCAGAGATTGCAGTTGGAGGACAAGGAGGAGGAGGCGGCAGAGGTGGAGGAAGAGGAGAAAGAGGAGGAGGAAGTGGAGAAGGAGAAACGGGGAGGCGTAGAGCGGGACAGGGTTGAGAAGGCTGGTGGATTTGGCGGGGAGGATAGGTGGGGGAAGCGTGGTTTTGATGATGGGATGGGTTGGGAGCACGCAAGGCTAAGTGCGGTGAAGGAGGAAGAAGGGTGGGGTGGGGCGTATGGCACTGCTGCTGGTGGTGGTGGTGGTGCTGCTGCTGCCGCGGGAACCGAAGCTAAAGCTGCTGGTAATATGTCAGGGAGGAGAAGGAGGAGCGAGAGAAAGGCTGTGGAAGAGGACTGGGCAGTGAGGAAAGCGAGGAGGAGGTGTGTGATAGGAGCGGTGACCAAGGAACTGCGGGACGTGTGTGTGGAGTATGGAGGCAAGGGAGTGAGTGAGAGTGAGCTGTATAGTGCACTGGCATGTGCCGTGATTGCAGGGGCCAGTGATTCAGTCAGGCGAGTCTTTGAGAGACACGATAATAAGCATCGTCGGCCAAAGAAGGGACTGGGAGTGAGGGGAAGGGAAGGGGATGCAAAGACGGCGGGAGGGGCGGCAGACTGTCGGCATAGGGGCAGGAGAAGCACATGTGTAGGAGGGCTGTGTGAGAGGTGTGAGAGGGGGGAGAGAGTTAGTGTTTCTGTGGCTGCCAGTGCAAGGCAGCGTGTTCTGGAGCATCTGCAGTGCCTGCAGCTACTGGTATCGGTACTCCCCTCGCAATCTGCCCGCCTGCTAGAAAACGCCCTGATTCATTCTGCAGGGGAGGCTGTGCGAGCATCGTGTGGGAGTCAAAGGGGCCCTACCAGTGCCCCTCCTGCCTCCGCTGCTGCTGCTTTCACTGCTGGCTTCACTGGTCTCAGCAGTGATGGTGGCGGCGGCGGCGGTGGTGGTGGTGCTGCGGTTGGAAGGGCATATACCTCTGGTGCGTATGGGACGTTATCCCCGGTAACACCTGATCTCCTCCCGCCTCTGGCACAGGGTAGAAAGGGCACCTCCTCCCTCGCAGTCACAGGTGAGAGATACGGAGGTGGCGCAGTGCAGAGTGGGGCTTCTGTTGCAGAAGGGGCAGTGAAATCCGCAGGTGAAGGTGCTGGTGGGGGAACGGAAGCAACCTGCAGGGTGAAGGCTGAGGAGGAGCAGGAAGGAAGGGGCGGGAGCGGAGGCATGGAGGGAGTGGAAGGAGGAGAGGGTGGAGGTTGGGCAAAAGGGGAGGACACAGATGGTCAAATGGGCCGTTCGGGGCAAGCAGAAGAGGGGTTAGGGTTTAGTACAGAGGGTGATGGTCAGCCGGGAGGGCAGAGAGAGGGGGGAAGGGAAGAAGTGGAGGCAGAGGGGGAGGGTTTATCCAGGCTGGACTGGAGCGTGGAGGTGGATCTGGGGGTGGCGTTATCTGTTGTGGCTCTGGGCACTGTTCATGGGCTGGTGTCTCTGCCTCGTGCTGTGGCGTCCCTGTGTGCGCCTCATACCCTTGCGCCGTCAGTAAGGGCCAGACTGCAATGCCTTTCTCCAAGCGATTTGCTGCAGGTGCGAGAAGTTGAGGAGGGTGCTGTTGAGACAGCCACTGCTGCTGCTGCTGCTGCTGCTGCTGCTGCTGCTGCTACTGCTGCTGCTGCTGCTGCTGTTCCAGTTGCTGCTGGCGCAACGGAGGTAACAGGAGCAGCAAGGGCGACAGAGGCAACAGCAGCAGCGGGTGTTCGAGTTGCTGCCAGTGCTGCAGCCAAAGAGCAGGCGGACTCTCCAGTGGTTTCAAGGGGTGCAGTGCGGTTGAGGCATGTGGGAAGCACCAAGGAAGAATCCCACAGTATCAGGACACGAGGCGCGGATCGGTCCCTTGGCCCAGCAGCAGCAGGCTTGGGTTTGGCTAACCCTCTTTCTAGACAGTCATCCATAGTTAAGCTCAGACAGGGGCGTAGAAGCTCCCGTTCGGGTGCGAGAGAGCACGAGAGGGGGGGACCGGGCGTTGCGGGGCGGCAGCAGGTGGTGGGAGGGGAGGGCAAGGAGGAGGACGATGAGGGGGAAGGGGAGGAGGAGCGGTGGCAGTGTGATGTGACTCAGCTTCTGTGGCTGCGTGTGCTGCTTGGATCACACCGGCAAGAGCTGCAGAAGAAGACGGAGAAGGAGAGGCAGGGCCGGCGGTGCGGACGAAGCAGGAAGAGTAGACGGGTCGTTGCGTCAGCAAAGGCATCAGGCTCTGCACCGGCTGCTGCTGCTGCTGCTGCTGCCTCACCTGCGTCAGCGGCTGCTGCTGCTGTCAGTGGTGGCGATACGTTTATGAATGCTACACAAGGAATGGCCGAGGGACAGGGAAGGGGAGACGGAATGGGGGCAGGAGAAAGAGAGGGAGGAGAGGGAGAAGAAGAGGGTGAGGGAGTGTTTGATACAGCGGTCACATCTGAGAGAGCGTGCAGGTGCGGGTACCTTTCCTGGTGGCCCCGTTTGCTGGGTCCTGTGCATAGGCTGGCACTCCATCGCATGCAGACCTCTCTCCTCTCCACCCGCTTCCTCTTCTTCTCTGTATATCCCCTCTTTACTGCTGCGCTGCATGCACGTGCAGCGCACAGGGCAGCAAAGGAGGTGGAAAGGAGGGGAAGAAGGGAGGGGGGAGAGTCTTCCAAGGGAGAGATGAGGCAGGAAGAAGGTCAGTTAGGTGGTGGGGAGGGAAAGGGGCCTGAGGAGAGGGGTCACGGTGGAACATCCATGGATGTTGACCTTGCAGTGGGGGAAGAGGTGCAGGAAAAGAAGCTCATGTTCTCACAGCAGCAGCAGCAGCAGCCAGAGCTGCGGCAACAACAGCAGCACGAGCGGCAACAGCAGCAGCAACCAGAGCAGCGACAACAGCAGCAGCAACAGGGGAATAAGCGGGTCCGCAGAGCCCCTTGCAGCTGCAGATGCCCCAGAAGGCACTCCCCTTCCATGTGCTTGCTACTTCCCCGCGCCTCTGTCCGTATGCCTTTTACACCATCTCGCGAAGCAGAAGCAGATGCAGGAGCAGAAACAGTGGCAGGAACAGGAGCAGCAGCAGGAGCAGCAGGAGAAGCAGCAGCAGCAGCAGCAGCAGCAGCAGCAGCAGCAGCAGCGGCAACAGGGTCAGTGGTGCAATGTGGAGCTCAAGCCGACTTTGCCGCGAATGTGGAGGCAGCAGCAATGGATGTTGTGTTGAACCCTGCTGTGCGCTCGGCTCTGCTACGAGACATAAAGTCTCTGGACCAGTGCTTATGGCGGGAAGTGGAGAGGGAGAGGAAGATGGTTGCTGCATTGCATGCCGCTACTGTCACTGCAACTGCGGCTGCTGCTGCTGCTGCTGCAGCAGAGGCAGCAGCGGCGGAGGCGGGAGCGGGGGGTCGAGAGGCAACAGCTGCAGCCGGGGCAGAGGCAGGGGCAGGGGCAGGGGATGCAGAGGTGGTGGCAGCACCTTCTGCAGCTGGAGCAGCAACCAGTCTGGCAAGGGGGTTGGGGTTTGGCGAACCTCCTCCTCCTGCTACTGCTGCTCCTCCTGCTGCCGCCGCCGCCGCCGCTGCTGCTGCTGCTGCTGCTTCTCCTTCTCCCTCTGCTCCAGCTCCTGCTGTGGCACCTCAAGCAGCGACGTCAATTGCAGCAGAAGCTGCAGAGTTGCCAGCGCCAGCAGCAGTGGTTGCTGGGGATAGCAGTATAGTCCCTTGGATTCCACCTAGGGCCTGCTCAGATGAGGCGCTGCTGGCAGTGGTACCGTTATGGTGCCGCCAGTTCCTCCTCTCGATACTGTCCCAGCGGCTACTGTCACCCCGAGTCCGAGTCAGATCACACGGCAGGCACAGGGCACGGAGAGAAGGGGTTGAACAAGAGCAACGGAAACGAGGAGAGAAGGGAGCATGGGGAGAAGGGGAGGAGAAAGAGGAACAGGGAGCTTGCAGGCACAGCACGGGCAGGAGGACGCCGGACGGGAGGGAGCAGGTTGTGGGGGGGAGCGGAGGGCTGGGTTGGGAAAGGGAGGTGCATGGAGTGGAGGGTGTGGGGCGAGGGGTGGGTGATGCGTGGAGGAACGGAGAGCAGCAGGTGCTTCTGATGGCTCTGCTGGAAAGTCTGGATCCTGCAACGCTGCCTGTGCACCGCATGCTCTCTCGCCTGCTCCTGGCTGAACAGGTAGGCGCTCCTCTCCTTCCATCCACCCTTTGAACACTATATTCTTCTCGCACTACTCTTGCACCCCTCTTGCGCTTCTCTCACACTACTCTCTCTACTCCCACACTGTTCTCCCACTATCCTCACACGAATCTGTTACTCTCTGATTGTTCCAGTCTTCACTTTCCCAACACCCTGTTTCTTCCTATGCTCTCTTCACCACACACCCCTTGCCTTGGCCCCTTGGCCTTGTTATCTCCCTCTCATTTCCCCTTTCACCTGACCTACGTCCCCTCTCTTCCACCTCGAACACTCCACCCACCCACCCTGCTACCCCCCGTTCCGCACTGCCCCGCCCGCCCCGCCGTGCCCTGGCCCTTGCGGACCCACCTTCCCCCCTGCGCGCTTGGCCCCACAGGTGTGTCAGGAGCGGGTGCAGGCAGGTACATCTCTCCCGTCCGCCTTCCAATCAGCTCTCTGCCTCAGCCCCTTATACGGAGCAGCCTCAGAAAAGACCCTCTCCACGTCCCACCACCACAGCCAAGCAGCGTCCGTTGCAGGAGCAGCAGCCTCAGCGGCAGCAGCTAGAGGATCAGGGGTTATAGACCTTACCGGTGACGGTAACAGCGAGGGCAGCAGGCCTTTGCGGGTTGGGCAAGGGCAGGGAGGGTTTGGGGGAGCGGGCGGGGCGGGATGTTTAGGTGTAGGTGCAGGGATGGGATGGGAAACAGGAGATGTGTTGCCTCCGGATGGTGTGTGGGAGAGTGAGAAGGGGTTTGCAGGTGCGGTGCTGTCTCGGGTGGTTGTGAGGCCAGAAGCTGCAGCTTTGCTTTCGGAGCTGCTGCGGGGGTTAACACGTAATTTGGAAGACTGGGTGGTGAAGCAGGTCAGGCGCTCACTCAGTGTGTCTCCTTGCCTTTCTTTGTTGTTGTTTTGTTCTCTGTCTTCTCTGTGTACGTTGTTGCGTCCACTCACACATGTATCTTGCGTCTAGCTTCTTGTTTAGCGTTCATGTGTTGAGGCTGTTACAGATAATACACTTTAGACTTTTCGTGCGCTTGTCTCTGCTCCTTAACTCGCCTTTGCTCTCCTCTCGTTTGCCTTTCCAACCTCATTCCCCTCCCCCGCTCTCTCTCCGTCTCCCTCTCTCCTCTCCCCATCAGGCTCGAGACGTTTTAAGTGGTTCTGTTACAGTCTCCTCCATACGTCCCATCTCTCACCGTCTCAGCGCTCTTGCTCCCCCCCTCCCCACATTCATCCTTCGTCGCTCCTCCCCACACCGGAGAAGAGGCAGACGAAAAAGAACTGCTGCTGCTGCTGCTGCCGCCGCTGCCGCTGCCGCTGCTGCTGCCACTACTACTGTCGCTGCTACTGCTACCGCTACTGCTGCTGCTCCTGGTGGGATTGGTGGGGCAGCGGATGATCAAGTTGTTGTTCCTGCCGGTGATCCCGCAGGGAAGGTGGAGGGTATGTCTGCAAGAGAGGAAAAAGCCAAGGAAGGAGCAGCAGCCGCAGCCGCAGCAGCAGGAGTAGTAGCAGCAGCTGATTCAGGTGCTGTTGAATCAGATGAACCAACACAAGTCCTGCTTGGGGAAAGGGGGACGACAAAGGCGCCCGAAGAAGAGGGGGTTGGTAAGGAAAGGAAGGGAGTGAAGCTGGGAGAGTCGGTAGCAGGAGAGGAAGGCGAAGGGGGTGCGAAAAGGATGGTCAATGGGGAAGTGCGTGGTGTGCCTTGCACAGAGATGGAGGGGCTTGAAGGTCCTGGGGTTTCAACAGAGGAAGATAAGGATGGGGCAGCGGGAATGAGGGCGGTGGGTGGTGCACGGGAGAGAGAGGAAGGAGCACGTGGAAGTGACCCCATGGGTAAGGCTGTGGGCAAAAGAACTGCAGATGGAGGTGCAGGGAGCGAGGAGAAGGGAGGCAGAGGAGCAGGTGTGGTTGTGAAGGTGGGAGGTGATGGAGGGAAGGAGGATGAAAGTGGGAGTGGCCGGGGTATAGGGCTTGTGAGGATGGGTGAGGAAGCAAGGGAGGCTCCGCTTGTGTCTGGGAATGGGTTGGGAGAGATGACGAGCGGTGCTGGGTTCGGAGAAGGGAAGGTTGGTCTAGTAGCAGGCGGAGGGACAGAAGGAAATGAGGGAGACAGGGCGGGAGGGGATGGGAGAGAGGGAGGAGCGGTGGGGAACGGTGGGGGGGGTGAAGTGGGAGTGGTGTACAGTCTGCATACAGGGCTTTATTTGAAGCTGGATGGAGAGAAAGGGGGAGTGAAGAAAGAGAACAAGGAGGAGGGGACGATTAAGGTTGCGGGGACAAAGGAGCAGCAAGGGAATGGAGTTGTGGGGATGGATGTGGATGGATTGAAGAATGGGGCAGGTGTGGAGGCAATGGAAGGGCTTGAAAACGCAGCCGGGAAAGAGAGGGTGGGAGGTGATTCGGCAGATGGGAAAGAGGCAGAAGGTGCAAGATTACTTGTGAAGGAAGAAGAGGAGGTTGATGTAGATGATGGGGACATGGATGATGGGGAGCAACTGGGGAAAGGGAAGGGGGAGAGGGAGATGGAGATGGAGGGGATAGAAATCAAACACAGTGCGGTTGAAAGGGGTGCGGAGCGGAAGCGTGGCAGAGGGATGGAAGGCAGGGAGGGAGGAGGTGAAGAGAAGATGGAAACTGATGATGATGGGGGGGGGGATGGGGTTGGTGGTGATGGCAATGGCACTGCTTTTCCTGATCACAAGGATGGTAACGGTTGTGCTGGCGGGGATAGGGCTTTTGATCCTGATGGTGTAGTGGATTCTGAGCCGACAGAGAGCGAGGCGGAGAATAACGTTGGGGATGGTACCGAAGGGGCAGATGAAGTTGGAGATGCTGAGACCGGGGCGGGGGAGGGCAGGAAGGGGCAAGCAGGCAGGCTGGCGGAAGGGGATGAGGAGCTAAGAACAAGTGCAAGGACACAAGTAGGGAGGAAGGTCCAGCAAGGGGACGGGGGGGATGAGGTTATTGGGCCTTCCACAGCTTCGTCCTCCTCTCAATCCGCCTCCTCCTCTTCCGCCTCTGGTTCTTCTTCTTCCTCCTCTTCCCCTGCATCTGCTGCCTCTTCTGCTGATTCCCCATCTTCCTCATCTTCCTCATCATCCTCATCGACTGCAGCAGCAGCTGCTGCAGCTGCAGAAGTAGGAGGAGGAGCAGCGGGGGGAGCAGCAGCAGAAGGAGCAGCAGGGGAAGCAGCGGCAGGGGGAGCAGAGGCGGAAGGAGCAGGAGTAGCGTCCTCTCCTTCTGCACATGCGTCTGCATCTGCATCTGTGTCTGCTTCTACGTCTGTCTCTGCAGCATCATCTGCGTCCGGGGCAGTGGAAGGGCGTGGCAGCAAGGGTGACAAATCGCCAGAGGAGAAAGGTGGCGACGGGAAAGGGGGCGGGGATGAGAATGGAGAAGGGGAAGGGGGGCGGGGAGGGTGAAGGGGAAGCAGAAGGGGATGGAGAGGAGCGGGATGGAGAAGCGAAAAGGGAAAAGAGGGAGGAGCGTGAAGCGGAAGGAGAAGGGGAAGGGGAAGGGAAGAAGGGGGAAGGAGCAGGTAGAAGCTCGAAGAAATCCTCTTCTACCACTCGGTCTCCTGCAAAATCGTCTCCTGCAAAATCGTCTCAATCGGCCTCTTCCTCCTCTGGCTCCTCCAGCTCATCTTCGTCCTCTGGTTCCTCGTCCTGCGCGCAGTCTGGGCAGGATGGGGTTGAGGAGGAAGAGGAGGTGGAGGTGGGTGATGTGCGGGATCGACAGCAAGGGCAAGAGCAAGTGCACGAGCAGCAGGAGCGGCAGGGGGAAGAGGAGGAGGAGGAGAAGCAGGAGCAGGAGCAGGAGCAAGGGCAAGGGCAAGGGCAAGAGCAGCAGCAGGAGGAGGAGGAGAAGCAGGGGCAAGAGCAGCAGGTGGAGGAGGAGGAGCAGGAGCAGGAACAGCAGGAGCATCAGCAAGAGCAGGAACAGCAGGAACAGCAGGAGCAGCAGCAGGAGAAAGCCGGCCAGGAGGGGCAAGAGGAATGGATGGAGGGGGGTTTAGGTGAGCAAGGGCAGGGAGAGGAGCATGCAGTAGGGGAGAGAGGAGATGAGGGGAACAGTGAGGAGCGGATGGAGGAAGGTGGTTGTAAGGGAAATGATTTTGAGAAGGATGGGCATGCGGTTATTCTAGGGGAACTTTTTGGTGAAGATCCGGGGATGGATGATGCGAGCGAGGGAGGAGAGAATGCCAGTGGGGAGCAAAGTACAGAACAGTCATGGCAGGAGCATGGGAAGGATGTGGGTACGGTTGATGGAAACGCGTGTCTGGGGGAGAGGGTAGAGGGATCGGCGTGGGAGAGAGAAGAAGAGGAAGGGGTGGAGGAGGAGGAGGATGAGGAGGTGGAGATGGAAGGGAAGGAGGTGGGGGAAGAGGAAGTCCCGGAGGGGATTAGAGAGGAGGGAATGGGAGAAGAGAAGAGAGAGGGGGAGGGGGGTGGGATTGAGGACCTGGGGCAGAGTTTAAGGCAAGACGGTATGATGGATGTGGAATGGGGGACAGGAGAGGCTGACTGGGAGGGGAAAGGAGTGGAAGGGGAGGGAGTGGCATGGGGTCTGGTTGAAGGTTCCAAAAGGGGGAACGATGGTGAAGTGGTTGGGGAGGATGGTGAAGCGGTTGAGAACGATGGTGAAGCGGTTGAGAATGATGGTGAAGCGGTTGAGAACGATGGTGCGGCGGTTGGGGAGGATGGGAGTGATGCGGATGATGGGAGTGATGGTGATGATGGGGATGATGGGGATACTGAGGGTGATGAGGATGATGGGGGTGATAAGGATCAAGGGGAGCAGGAAGCAGTTGAGGCAAGAAAAGGAGGGTCTTTTGGGATGGCCGAAACGGGCAGTATAGAGGGGGGCACTGATATTCATGTTTCTGGTGGGGGAGAAGCAGAGGAAGGGGTGGGGAAAGGGCCTATTTCTGAGTCGACTCGAAAAGGGCCACCAGAGGAGGGTGATGAGAATGAGGGGTTTTTCTCAAGGGATGCGCAGGAGTTGCAGCATATGGAAAGCGAGAGTAGGGTGAGTTTGGGTGACCGGGTGAGTGCAGGGGAGGGCGGGGAGGAGCTGGGGAAGGAACATGTGAATGAAGTGGAGGGAGTGGAGGAGGAAGAAGAGGAGGACGAAGAGGAGGAGGAGGACGAGGAGGATGAGGAGGACGAGGATGAGGAGGATGAGGAGGAGGAGGGGGAGGGGGGGAAAGAGGAAAAGGGAGAGGAAGAGGCAGGTGAACAGCATGAACAGGATCGTGGGCAGGAGGGGGAGGAGGGGTTTGAGGATCATATGGATGTCTGTGTTGGGGGAGGGGCGATGGAGATGGATGAAGGAGGAGAGGGAGGGGACGTGAAGAATCAGGAAGAGGGTAGAAGTGAAGACAGAGAGTCGAGGGAAGAGCAGAGAAGCTATGCAAGTATGGAGCAGCTGGGGCTGTTTGGGGGGAGTGATGAGGGTGGTGTGATGCGTTACCATGGGGAGGAGGACGAGGTGGAAGGAATGGGTGGTGCTGCTGGTGAAGGTGCTGATGAGAACGGCGGTGATTATAGCTACGGGGAGGGGAGGACAGGTGGTGAAGAGTTTGGGTTACGGGAGGGTTATGAAGGTGGTTTGGGCAGTGGGGGGGGCATGGGTGAGTTTATGTTGGAAGGAGGGGAGATGGGTGAAGAGGTGGGAGGAGAAGGGAATTTAGGGAGAGATGGGCTGTGGACTGAGGCGCATCATGTGTTGGTGGAAGGGAAGGAGGAGAGGGGGATGAAACAGGCGCTAGATGTTCAAACGGTGAGCCCTTGTGAGGAGAGAGTGGATGAGGAGGAGGAGAAGGGAGGAAGAGAGTGGATGGAGATGGAGGAAGGTGGTTGGAGGAAAGGGATTGATGGTGAGAAATTGGGAGGAAATGGGGGGGTGGAGACCGGCGGTTGTATTGGAGAGACAGTGGTGGGTTTAGAGAGGCAGGAGGGTGGTATTTGTGGCAGTGAAAGGAGAAGAGAGAGCGTGTATGTGGGGAACAAAGGAAAAGTGATAGAGGAAGGGGGTTCAAAGGAGGAGGATAGGGAGGATGAGTGGTGGGATGGCTGGGGAGATAGTGCATGGTGTGACGAGAGCGAGGAAGAGGGTGACGTTTGCTGGAGTGATGATGAGGATTCGGAGAAGGATGCTAGAAGGGGTACCAGAGGAGAGAGGATAATCGCGGAAAGGGCTCTTTCGGGCCGATCCAGAGGCAAGGGCAATGGCTCTAGGGCGAAGGCAAAGCGCGCAAGCAGGAGGAAAAGAAGAGTGGAAGAGAAAGGAGCAAAGGCACGGAAAGCTGGGCGTGGTAATCTGAAAGGCGGTGCCAGCTCTGCGAGAGGTGGTGGGAAGGGTAACAGCGAAAGGGCAGGGGATGCTGAGATGACTGAGGTGGAAGGTGCAGGAGTTGTGGCTGTAGGCGGGGGTTTAGAGGGGTTTAAGACAGAGTATTCCCTTGGTTCGGGCGATGCTGGTGGGGATTGCGCTGGGTGGAAAGGCATTGAAAGTGGTGCAGATGGTGTTAGTGCGAAGGGAATGGAGGCTGGGGATGGTGGTGTTTTGAGGGAGGGACGAGGTGAGAGCTTGCCGGGAGAGGGAAGGGGAAAGGAGTTCGGAGACGATATGGAGTGTGGGGGGAAAGGAGGAGGAGCTGCTGGTATAGAAAAAAATGTATTGAATTTAAGTGGAGAAGAGGATGAGGAGGAAGAGGAAGAGGAGGAAGAGGAGGAGGATGAGGAAGAGGAGGAGGAGGAAAAAGAGGAGGATGAGGAGGACGAGGAAGAGGAGGAGGAAGTGGAGGAGGAAGAGGAGGACGAGGAAGAGGAGGAAGATAAGGAGGAAAAAGAGGAGGAGGAGAAGGAAAAAGAGGAGGAAAAGGAGGAAGAGAAGAGAGTTGAGGTGAAACAAGAAGAGACGATGGAGGAGGGGGAGGAGGAGGATAGTGAGGAGGATGCAGAGAGTGAGGAGGATGAGGAGAGTGAGGAGGAGAGTGAGGAGGATGAGGAGAGTGAGGAGTATGAGGAGAGCGAGGAGTATGAGGAGAGCGAGGAGGAGGAGGAGAGTGAGGAGGAGGAAGAAGGGGGGGAGGAGGAGGGGGGGCAGGAGGAAGAGGAGGAGGAGGAGGAAAAGGAGGAGGAGGGGAGGGGGGAAGAGGAGGAAAAAGTGGAGGAGGAAGAGAAAGTTGATTTAAAAGAGGAGAGGATGGAAGAGGAGGAGGAGGGGGAGGAGGAGGAAGAGGAGGACGAGAAGGAGGATGAGGAAGAGGATGAAGAGGAGGAGGAAAAAGAGGAGGATGAGGAGGGCGAGGAAGAGGAGGATGGAGAGGAGGAAGAGGAGGTGGAGGAGGAGGAGGTGGAAGAGGAGGGGGAGGAAGAGGAGGAGGGAGAGGGAGAAGGGGAGGAGACTGAGGGCAGTGCAAGTACTTCAGATGATTCCGGCGAGGACAGTGAATTGGAGAAGGAAGCTCGAACTGCTCTGGACTTTTGGGGGTTCTTGTGGGATGGGGCGGGGGATGAATCGAGTGAGGCATGGGATGAGTCTTATGATGATGATGTTTTGGAAGAGGGGGAGGTGGAAGAGGAGGAGGAAGAAGAAGAGGAGGAAAACGAGGAGGAGGATGAGGAGGAAGACGGGGAGGAAGGGGAGGAGGAAGAGGAGGGGGAAGGGGAGGAAGATGAGGAGGAAAAAGAAGAGGAGGAAGAGGAGGAAGGGGAGGAGGAGGTGGAGGAAGGGGAGGAAGAGGAGGAAGGGGAGGAGGAGGTGGAGGAAGGGGAGGAAGAGGAGGAAGGGGAGGAGGAGGTGGAGGAAGGGGAGGAGGCGAAGGAACAGGAGGAGGAAGGGGAGGAGGAGGAGGAAGAGGAGGAAGAGGAGGAGGATGAGGAAGAGGAGGATGAGGAAGAGGAGGAAGAGGAGGAGGAGGAGGAGGACGAGGAAGAGGAGGAAGAGGAGGAAGAGGGGGAGGAAGAGGAGAAAGAGGTGGAGGGAGGGGGGGAAGATGAGGAGGAAAAAGAGGAGGAGGAAAACGAGGAAAAGGAGGAGAAAGAGGGAGTTGAGGTGAAACAGGAAGAGAAGATGGATGAGGGGGAGGAGGAGGAGAGTGAGGAGGATGAGGAGAGTGAGGACGATGAGGAGAGTGAGGAGGAGGAGGAGAGTGAGGAGGAGGAGGAGGAGAGTGAGGAGGATGAGGAGAGTGAGGAGGATGAGGAGAGTGAGGAGAGTGAGGAAGATGAGGAGAGTGAGGAGGATGAGAGTGAGGAGGATGAGGAGAGTGAGGAGGATGAGGAGAGTGAGGAGGAGGAGAGTGAGGAGGAGGAAGAAAGGGGGGAGGGGGAGGAGGAAGAGGAGGAGGGCGAGGAGGACGAGGAGGAGGAAGGGGAGGAGGAAGAGGAAGGGGAGGAAGAGAAAGAGAGAGTCGAGGTGAAACAGGAAGAGAAGATGGAGGAGCAGGAGGAGAGTGAGGAGGATGAGGAGAGTGAGGAGGATGAGGAGAGTGAGGAGGATGAGGAGAGTGAGGAGGATGAGAAGAGTGAGGAGGATGAGAAGAGTGAGGAGGATGAGAAGAGTGAGGAGGATGAGGAGAGTGAGGAGGAGGAGAGTGAGGAGGATGAGGAGAGTGAGGAGGATGAGGAGGATGAGGAGAGTGAGGAGGATGAGGAGAGTGAGGAGGAGGAGGAGGAGGAGGAGGAGGAGGAGGAGGAGGAGGAGGAGGAGGAGGAGGAGGAGGAGGAGGAGGAGGAGGAGGAGGAGGAGGAGGAGGGGGAGGAGGAAAAAGTGGAGGGGGAAGAGGAGGAGGAAAAAGAGGAGAAAGAGAATGTTGAGGTAAAAGAGGAGAAGATGGAGGAGGTGGAGGAGGAGGGGGGTGGGGAGGAGGGAGAGGAGGAGGAGGAGGAGGAGGAGGAGGAGGAGGAGGAGGAGGAGGAGGAGGAGGAGGAGGAGGAGGAGGAGGAGGAGGAGGAGGAGGAGGAGGGGGAGGAGGAGGAGGAGGGGGAGGAGGAAGAGGAGGAGGAGGAAGAGGGGGAGGAAGAGGAGGAGGAGGAGGAGGGAGAGGTGCGAGGGGAGGAAGAGGAGGATGAAGAATGGGGTAGCAGAGAGGAAGGAGAAGCAGATGAGGAAGATAGTGAGAGTGACTCTGGCGATAGTGATAGTATTGAAGGTTTGGTGGGTGAGGGAGATGAGATGGAGGATACTCTAGCAACGTTGTCTTTTCAATTCGGAAAAGGGTCTGGGTTTGGGGAAGAGGAAGCAGGAAGTGGGGAGGGAAGAGATCTGGTGAGTTTGGAGAGTGAGGATGAAGGGCGAGGGATAGGGCATATGTCTGATGATGGGGAGGAAAAGGGTGAGGGAATGAGAGGGGGAGAGGGTGAGGGTGAAGGAGAGAATGGAGGGGTGTATGGGTGGGGGGATGGGTATGAGATTAAAGGGGAGGATGTGGATATGAGAGAGGGAGAGGGGGCCGAGGAAGGGGAAAGTGTGGAGCAGGAACAGGGCGATGAGATTGAGGGAGTGGAGATGGGGCGTTTGGAAGGTGGTTACGGTGAAGGAGAGCAAGAAATGGAACGGGAGGAGAATGAGAATGAGGAGGAAGAAGAGGAGGAAGAAAAGGAGGAAGGGGAGGAGGAGGATGGTAGCAATGGGGGGTACAAGCAAGAGGAGGGGAATAATGGTGATGTTTATGTGGAACAGGGTGCTACTTGCGAAGAAGCGAATTTAGGTGAGGAGGGAGGGGAGGTTGGACGGGCAGTGGGGTTTGCTTTGATGCAGGGTCAGGGGAGTGGAGATATTGCAAGGTGGCAGGGGCAGAATGACATGTTGGTAACGACAGGGTTTGGCGATGAGGATCGGATGAATGGAGGGATGCTGGTAGACGCGGGGGTAGGGGGCAGTGGGGGAGGTGATGTGGAGGAGGAGGGAGAGGAGTTCGGGGACAGCGAGGGGAAGGAGGAGAAGCGAAAGGAAGCGGAGGAGGAAGAGGAGGATGGTGATGATGATGAGGATGGAGAGGAAGAGGAAGAAGAGGAGGAGGATGATGATGGGTTGTTAGATGCTGAACTTGCAGTGGCAATGGAAGCAGAAGGAATGGAGGAAGAGGAGCAGTATGGTGAGGGAACGGGTGCGGGCACGAGTGAACGGATGGATGAAGGCAGTGGGAAGATAAAAGAATGGGCTGGAGAAGGGGGGAAGATTGAGAGGGCTGGTGGTGATGATGTAGAGGAAGAGGAGTGGATAATTGGGGAGGAGTGGATGTGTGGGGTTATGGCAGGGCAGTTGGGGATGATTCAGGGGGGGAAAGGGAAGGGGGTAGAGGTTTGGGAGGGGAAAGGTGGAGGTGAGGAGGAAGGGAAGAGGGGTGAGGTTGAGGGGGGTGAGTTTGGAAAGGGGGAGGGGTTAAGGGTTTATGGTGGGACGGGTGCGGAGGAGTGGCGGGTGAAAGGAGAGAAAGGTTTGGTAGAGAGCGGTGGGAATGAGGGGGAAGGGGAAGAGAGGGAGGAGCAGGAGGAGGAAGAAGAGGAGGAGGATGGGGGAGAGGAGGGGGGAAGATTGCAGTGGGACGAAGAGGAAGAGGATGATTCAGTCGAGGATGAGAGTGAGGAGGAGGAGAGTGAGGAGGAAGAGGAGAGTGAGGAGGAGGAGAGTGAGGAGGATGAGGAGAGTGAGGAGGATGATGAAAGTGAGGAGGAGGAAGAGGAGGAGGAGGAGGAGGAGAGTGAGGAGGAGGTGGGGGAGGAGGTGGAAGGGGGGGAGGAGGAAAGTGGGGGAGAGGAAGGGGAAAGACTGCAGTGGGACGAAGAGGGAGATGATGATTCAGAGGAGGATGAGGAGAGTGAGGAGGAGGAAGAGAGTGAGGAGGATGAGGAGAGTGAGGAGGAGGAGAGTGAGGAGGATGATGAGAGTGAGGAGGAGGAGGAGGACGAAGAGGAGGAGGATGAATATGGGGAGGAGTGGGCAAGAAAAGAGGAATCGGATCTTGTGAAAGCAGAGGAGGGAAAATATGGATTGCTAGAGGAGGAAGAGAGAATGAAGCAGGAGGAGGAGGAAGGGGAGGATGAAGAAGAAGAGGAAGAGGAGGAAGCTGAGGAGGATGATGAGGTGGAAGGGCAGGAGAGTGAAAGCGGGAGTGACGAGGATGGGGAAGAGGAGGACGAGGGCGAGGAGAGTGGTGGTGATGATGACGGAGAGAGTTTGATGGTACAGTATGAGCAGGAGGAAGAAGAGGAGGAGGAGCTAGGAAAGTTGGGGGATTGGACCCTTGTGTGGGGAAGTGAAGAGAGTAGCGAGGACATTGGTGAGAGTGAGGAGAGTGAGGAAAGCGAGACGGAAGCGGGGGAGGGTGAGGGGAGTGAGGAGAGTGAGGAGAGTGAGGAGAGTGAGGGGAGTGAGGAGAGTGAGGGGAGTGAGGAGAGCGAGGAGAGTGAGGGAAGTGATCTATGTGGGAGTGTGTCAGAGGAGCGTAGGGAGAGTGATCTTGGCATGGAAATGCTATACCAGTCTGATTCTGAAGATTCGGAGGCTGGGATTCTCAACAGAATAATGGCAACAGGTGCAAGGGGAGGAATGGTTAGGGTTGCAACGACTGCCTGTGTTGATGATGAGTCTGCTGCTGCTTATGGCAGCGAAATCTCAGAAGAGTTTGAAGAGTTAGAGGAGACAGAGGACTCAGAGGAGCTTTATCTTCCCGGCGAGTGCTCGGAGGACTCTGGGTCCTTCTGCTCTTCCGATCGATACTCTTCAGACCGTTACCTGTCGGACCGGGAATGCGGCCCGTACTCATACAGTGACGACGAGGACGAGGCCGACGATGACGACGAACGCTCGTCGGACTGTGATTCGCTGTCTAGCTATACTTCCCAAAGTTCTGGTAGTTCTAGAAACGCTAACAGCTTCGGGAGTTTGCGCATTTTAAGAGAGAGCGATTCACCCGATTCCTCACCTGCCCCAACCGCTGCTGACCCCCTCTTACCCTCTCAAGTTAACCGCTTTCCCTCTGTATCGCAGCCGTCTCATCCGCAGTATGCCTCTGTACCAGTTGCATCTTTCCCTGACGCTTCGCTCGGAAGGCTTGCAGCGCACTCAGCCTCTCTGGCTTCGTCTCTTCCGTCTTCCTCAGGTTCTCTTGGGCCGGTATTAGAAAGTCTCCTTCCCAGCAGGAGCAGCGGCAGGGCGAGGGCCAGGAGGAAGCAGCGGCGGAAGCGGCGTGGCAAGAGGCCGAGTGGGAAACCGAGTGTGAAGGTCGGGGAGAAACACGAGAAGCACCCGTGGCTGTTTCCTCCGGATACTCTCTGGCGGCCGTTTGGCTCTTGGGCTTGTGAGCCTGATGTTTTGGGAGGCGGAGGAATGGCAGCGGGATTAGCTGTGGAGGAACGGAATGGGGCAGGGGGAGTGGGAGGTGGAGCGGCAACTGTTGTTACTCACTGTGGGTCTTGTTTACGGCGGAGCTGTTGTGATGCTGTGGGGTTTTCTCGGGGGTGTTGTGGGTGTTGTGAGTTCTGGGGTGGGAGAAAGGCGAAGCGAAGGAGAGGGGAGGCGGGTGTTGGTGTTACTGCTGCTGGTGCTGGTAGTGCTGGCAGTGATGATGGTGGAAAAGGAGGATGGCGCACACCTGCAAGCACGTCAACAGCAAGGCGTCATCATAGATATAGCCGCATCCCATCACTCTCCTCACACCACCAACATCAACACCAATGCCATCATGGGCACAAGCACAGGCATCGATCCAAGCAACCGCAGCACCACTACCGCCATCACCAGCAGCAGCAGCAGCAGCTGCACTCATGCCTCCCGTTATCATCATTATCACCGCTACCACCACTACCATCATCGGAACACGCTTTCACCACAGAACGAGCTCTGGCCCGCCTCGTCCTGCCCTGTCTCGCTCGTGCTTCCGACGAAGCCCGGTCCGGGTTTACCCAGGACGTCATAGAGCAATTCTACTCGCTCCACACCTTCCTCTCTGCAAAGCCTTTTGCCACTATCGCGCTCGAAGGCGCGGCACTTCCTGGGCAGTCCTTGTTTGGGTCGACTCACAAAATGCAGGATTCTGGAAGGGGTTTGGGGAAGCGTCCGAGGGGGGGTGGTGGCACGGGTGGTGCTGCTGCTGCTGCTTCTGCTGCTGCTTCTGCTGCAGTTCCTGCCGCGCCTTCTGCCGCTGCTGCTGCTGCTGCTGCTGCAGGTGCTGGTAGTGTTGGTGCTGGTATTGCTACCGCAGCACCTATAGTTGTTGGTGGTGGGGCAGCATACCCAGGCTCGCGTAAGAGACCTGCCGAAACCAGCAACAGAAGCTGCAGAGGGAATGACGATCCTGATCGCGGCGATGCTGCTGGTGCTGCTGGTGCTGCTGGTGCTGCTGGTGAGGGTGCGGAGGGTGCAATCGAGCCCTCCTCGCCCCCCGTCACACTCCACGGCCTCCACTCTGCCTTCTGGCTTCGTCTGCAGTTCCTCTTCCCGCTGCTGCCTATGGTTCATGCTGACAGGTGTGTGTGAGTATGTTTGTATATGTGTGTGTGTGGGTGCATGGGTGGGTGGGTGGGTGGGTGTGTGGGTGTGTGGGTGGGTGGGTGTGTGGGTGGGTGGGTGGGTGGGTGGGTGGTGGTGTAAGGGTTGGTGGTGGGGGGGACTGGGCGGGTGGGCGTACATGTGGGCAGATGTTTTTGAGCACGTATGTGTGCCCTCCTTATTCCCCTCCTTACCCCTGCTCATCCCCTCCCCACCTCTCTCTATCCGTCTCTCTCTTCCCCCTCTCCCCTGCCACCAACAGGGACTCCCGGTCAGACCCACCATCAGCGCGTGCCCCTTTGCCCCGCAACCTGCGTCGCTCCCTCACTCTCACCCTCCTCCACCTCCTCGCCTCCTCCGCCGTCCAATGCCCGCTCCCTGCTCCCGCTTCCCCATCTCTCCCACTCATCTCTCCTCTGCTTGCGCTAACCCGGTCCGGCACTTTCCCGTTGCTCCACCGACCCACTAACAAAGCTGATGCTTCAAATGGTGTGGGATTGAGAGGAGCGCCGTGGCAGCTTCTTATTCAACAGCACCAGCAGGAGCAGCAGCAGCAGGAGCAGGAAGGATCTGGAGACTTGTTATTTGACACACTTCTATCCATCTTCTATGCCCTGCTTACTCCCTCCTGGCCTGTCTGGCTTCGTCCCCCTCTGCACTCCTCCTCTTCCACACTCCCTCTCCCTCCCTCCTCCTCCGCCTCTTCCCCGATGCACAAGCCTCTCAAAGACGTGGCACCTCTGGACGCTGACCTGCTGGAAACGCTGCAAGTGAGTAAAATAACAAAAAGCCACGCACCATTCATTCATTCATTCATTCATTCATTCATTCATTCATTCATTCATTCATTCATTCATTCATTCATTCATTCATTCATTCATTCATTCATTCATTCATTCATTCATTCATTCATTCATTCATTCATTCATTCATTCATTCATTCATTCATTCATTCATTCATTCATTCATTCATTCATTCATTCATTCATTCATTCATTCATTCATTCATTCATTCATTCATTCATTCATTCATCAACGCAGTAGGAGTGACTTGTGGTCGACTCAGAATTCATGTGCAACCCCCCTTTGTCAATCCAATGTGGTTTCAGAGTTGTCAATCCAATGTGGTTTCAGAGTCTGTTCAACCAAACAGTCGCCTGCCCTCTTAGAGTTTTGAAATTTTGCTCACAGCCCCTTTCATTCCCTATACCTCCCCTTCCCCTCACTCCTGTTTTCTTTTTCTTTTGTTTTTTCTTATTTTTCTTTTTCAGGCCGGAATCGGCTCTCTCTTTCCCGACCCTGCTCTCTGGTCCCGCCTGCAATGCGCCCTCCCCGTCCTCCCCTCACCTCCGCCCCTCACCATTTCCGCCGCTCCCCCAGACCCCTCTCCTCCTCTCCTCGCGGCAGCTGCTGTCGCATCAGCAGCAGCAGACGGCACACCTCTAGAACCCGCCATAATCCCTACAGCCGTTGCCACTCCCATCCCTTCCACCGTCTTCTCCCCTCCGCCTTTACATGTGGCCTTTTCGCCAGGTCGGAATCGTGGCTCTAACCCTAACCTTCCGCTGCCACCTCTGATCGTCACCCGCTCACTCTCCTCCCCTCACAGCCCTAGCCCCTGCCTTCGCCTCCCGGCCGCCCTAGTAGCAGGACTACCACCCTCAGCAGCAGCAGCAGCAGCAGGTGTAGGAGCAACAGCAGCAGGACCAGCAGCAGCACCAGGAGGAGCAGCAGCATTAGGACTAGGGTCAGGATCAGGGGGAGCATCCTCAGCAGCAGCAGCTGCTGCTGCAGCTGCAGTGGCTGCATCGGCAGCAGCGGCTGCACCAGCAGCAGCAGATGGAGCAGAGATGGAAATAGATTCATGGTTATTACTTGAGGAATGTGCAGGAGGAACAGCCAGTCTAGGTCTTTCGGCCGCTGCCGCCGCCACAGCTGGTGCTGCTGCTGGTGGTGGCGAGTTTGCGGGTACGTGGGGGGCGGGTGGAGGGGATGCGGTGGCTGCAGCTCCCAAGGCGGTGGGGTGGCTGAGAGGGGCCGTGCGGCGCAAGCGCAAGGGGATTCTGTATGCAGTGGGGCATGAGGATGATGAGATAATCCGGTAGAGAGGGGTGCATGGATGGAGAGGGAAAGCTGAATGTGCTGAGGAGCAGGAGGGGAAGGTGCTGACGACCTTTGAGGCCTCTCAAAAGGCGCAAGCGCAAGGGGATTCTGTACGCCGTGGGGCATGAGGATGATGAGATAATCCGGTAGAGAGGGGTGCATGGAGAGGAGGCTGGTTCTGAGGCGCCTCAAAACTGGATTCTGTATGCCGTGAAGCATGAAGATGATTAAGTCATTTGGTAGGGGTGCGTGGAAAGGGGGGAGATGACGATGCTGAGGTGTGGAGACGGAGGAGGAGGCGACGACGACGATGACGACAATGACGACGTGTAAAGTTGCCTCTCTTCGAGCGCAAAACACGCCCTTCGAGAATAAGTTAGGTTACCTATACTCTTGATTCGCCGGTCCTTAGAGAGGTCCTCCTGGTATCTCGGCAGAGGCTTTGCCAAAATTGGCGTACCTGTATTTGGTTCGAGATACAAGTTTATCGAACAGGGTGTTTGTCTGGGTTGCTGGGTCTGGGTTACCGTAACAGTAAGTAACAGTACATAACATGGTGATTCTAGCTGGTTATGTGGCCTTCTGCTGCATCTGCAACATGATTCCTTAGCCGTAGTTTTTCCTTTTTTAAAGTACTATAGGTAAGGTAGTTGCAGTATCTAGATGATACATGTAAATAAGGCTGATGCTAACAGAAATTCGGTTTTGTAGAACTGCTGGATTGAATGTGACCACTGCAGGGCCTCATATCAGGAAAAAAACCTTGAAATTCCTGATTTTGGCAGTCCTCTTTTTACCTACACTGAAAAATCAGTGTTGAGATTTTTGTGGGACTGATTTTTAAGCCTTTCTTGTTAGGCCACACTGAAATTTCAGACTTTTTTTCCCAAGTACACTGATTCCACAGCGTTGTAACGAAACCAACACTGAAAGCAATACTTACTGCGTATTGTGAAAGTGTACTTAGGCTGACTTGCAAAGGCAGCGTTATCATTTCATAGCAAAGGCAGCGTTATCATTTCATATGGGTAGTAGTACATCATTCTCGTCTTATATATGTCTACATAGCAGCATACACAAATGGGTGGGCGGGTGGGAAATGAGAACTACAATTTTGAAAATGAAAACGTGGGTGGGGACGACCGTCCCCACGTCCCTCTTTTGTAGGCAAAAGAGGGTGAGTAGCGTTTCGGCGCTACCTTTGCTGTGTTGGTCACGTACCCCTTTTCACAATACAAAATTTTAGAAAGTGTTACATTTCATTACACTTTCAAAAATTATAATATTGTGAAAGTGTACTTAGGCTGACTTGCAAAGGCAGCGTTATGATTTCATATGGGTCTTCTGAGGCAAGTGCAGTCGGGGCTGGCGGTGCCGTTCGATTGACTGCTGATGCGTAGCGGGTGAGGGAGCCGTCGAAGGATCCTGCAGTTGCGTGGATAGGGAGATGAGCTGATCCTGCGCGATGGTAACGTACATCTCCTTCGCGCTGTCGCTGCGCCATCGGCCCATGCGTTTGAAGAGCCGGTCAGGAACTCCGAGGCTTGCCGCCGCAGTAGCTGCGCCTTTGCGGAATGAGTGAGTTCCGATGTGCGCGACATCCAGTCCAGCTTGCCTGCCGGCCGCGAGGCACTAGTTTCTGATCGTGACGTAGGATGGCGATTTGTCGTTAGGTGTGGCTGGCGAGTTTTTTGGGAAAACCCTTATCAGCGGTCCATGTGGCACCTTTGTGAGGCGTGCGAGGTGTATGAATTTGCGTGTGCACCTCACCGGGCAATATGGGCCTGGAATTGCCGCCACTGGGATCCAGACACCTTTCCCTTCCTGGTCCGTCTTGGAGTGCGGGATGAGCAGCCACATTGCCTTCTCCTCGAACTGTACATTATTCCATTGGAGCGAGACGAGGTCGGAGTAGCGCAAGAATGCCAAAAACATGAGAAGAGGAATCAATCCTTTCTGGTATTCCGCAGGAATTGATGATTCGAGGAAGGGACGAGCCATGTTGTGCACTTGATGGAGAGATATGGGCTCTTTGGTCCTTGTAGGCCGGGGACCGTGTCTCTTGGCGAACTCCCGCACTTGCAGGGTGAATGGGCCGATGGTAGGGGAGGTTTCTCCTGTCATGCGGTGGGCGAAGGCAACTGCCGAACACGTGAGGTTGATCGCGGAGAGGGTTGCTTTGTTGTTGAGCGCATGGATGAGATACAACGCTAGCGTCAGGTCGGTTGCTGGCAGGAACTCGAGCTTAACTTTGGTGCAGAAGGTGCGAAACCTTTGCCAATAAGGTTGGTACGTATCGATTGTAGATGGTGCACGAACGTGGCCAATTACTTGCATCAATTGTTGCTGTAGTTTGGTCAAAAGTCCTGACATGACACATTGAGAAATTTTGATTAGACCGCATAGTTTACACGCAAAGCAATTGTGAGAGTACGACGGCTTATGCCAGCTATGCTTGCTTGCCTGTACTTTATCATGCTATTTCTAGCATAGGATAATCATATGCATGCATGAATTGCTTGATTTCCTAGGCTAGGTGCTTTCCTATATTTTATTATAGTTATAGCACCGAGCTAGGTTGCGTGCACCGAATTCTGGCTTTTCGGTTGCCACCGAATTGCCTTCTACCGAATTCGGTAAGGATCTGTTCGGGACGCTTCGCGACCCGCGGAACCTTCGCGTAACACCTGGTTACGGGGCCTTGTGTCGAGCCTATATATAGCCTCGTGTTGTACCCAGGTGGACATTCAATTCAATTCAATTTGAATCATCTTTTCTGAGCTCGATCCCAGATCCTCACACTTGGTAATCAGAGCGGGTTTACACGCGAGGTCTTCAACCGCTTAGTTCCGGCCTTTAAAAACCGCGGGGGCGACGACGAAAGCGCCGATACGGGTATGTAAAACCAGTTCCGCGCAATTTTTCTAAGTCCCCCTCGATTCGGTTTTCGAACACCCCTCAGATTTACTGGTGGAAAGGTTGGAGTTTCGACCGTTCGATCGAGTTTCATCTCAACGGCCCAGAGAATTTCGCCCAAAAAAGTTGGAATTTGGAGCGTCGGATCGATTTTCTCCTCAACGGCCGAGATCGGACGCGAATTTCGCCTAAGGGAGATTTACGCAACCTACAGAATTCGCGCTCGTCGATTCTACAGTCAATTTGACTCGCAGTAAGTCGACCAGCACCTAGAATTCGATTATTTCCGTCGCGCATCTTCCTGTAAATCACCAAATGGAGGGCCAAGGCGACAACTACGCGACTACGAGCGACATTGCGAGCCTCCGCACCGACATGGAGCAGACGCAGGCGACGCTTCATCGACTCGAGGCTTTTCGGACAAGCCAACCAGGGTTCGCCACCGCAGCAGCAGCGACCACAGCGACTACAGCACCGACAACTCCAGCAGCAGTGGCGACACCGACATTTCACAGACCAATGGCACCACTGTCGCCGAACCTCGAAGCAGCACGACCGAGGCTCCCGGAGGCGTTCGATCCAAGCGCGAAGGGATCCGACGTCCGGCGATTCGTGGCCACCCTCGAAATTTACTTCGAGGCCATTGGCTGTTCGACCCCGCAACACGACGCAGCAAGGATTCGGCTCGCAGCGACACTGTTACGTGGACCGGCTCTCGAATGGATTTACTACACCGACGTAGCCCGCGGGTAGAAAACGTGGCAGCAGTTTCGGGCAGATTTAATCAGGCGTTTCGAACCAATTAATACAACCTACATGGCGCGGCAGCAGATACACCGACACAAGCAATACAGTAGTGTAACACAGTACACGCAGCAGATGGAGTTACTGTTCAACCGCATCACCGACCTGACCGAAGGCGAAAAAATCCAGGCGTACACCGAAGGATTAAAAATGGAGATTCGGCGGCAGGTGATTGCAGCGAATTACAACAGCTACCGAGACATCGTGCGTGCTGCCGAGCGATACGACGCGCTGACTCGAAGTCAACCCGAAACACGACGCTTCACGCCGAACCGTACATTCGGCACGGAGCGATCGGCACCCTCCACGTTCACCGAACCGATGGATATCGACAAATACGACGCGAAGCAGCAGCCGACAAAATGCGAATTTTGCGGCGCAGCAGGACATCAGTTTTTGTCGTGCTACAAAATGAAGAAAGCACGTGCGGCACTCCGGGACGGAAACAGTGGAGCACCCCCGAAGTAAAAAAACGGGAATCGCCAGTAGCCGCGGATCGACCTGGCGATCGCGTAAAGATTCGAAAAGCAGGAAACGGCGACGACGTGAGAACTTCGGAGCGGGTGAAAAAAGGAGAAAATGATGGCGCGAATTTAAAACGTCACGACCGGCATCAGGGGAAATCGCCGAGGCGAATGGAGGCTCCGCGAAAAAAGACTCTGCACCGACCGGGAAACTCCAGCCGAACACCCACGAAAGTAAGAATTCGTTAAAAGTATCCTATAAAGATGCTCTAACGAATAATATTGCTTCTCGTGGTTTACAAGCCTTCAAAAAATTCAGGGGAGGTCTAGAGGCCAAGAAAAAGCCTTTAGAAATTATTCAGGTACCTGAGAAGTTGGGCAAAATACTACGGAGCGTAGAGAAGGGTCGTGCGTTTCGTGGAATTCATATTCTCTCCCCGCAGCACAGTGTTAAGGCTCCCCGTCGCCCACAGGTGAAGCCTACACAGCTGCCAAGGCTTAGAGGAGACATCCAGGCTCAGGAAAAATTATACAAGCCTCGGAAAAATCCTCCTACCCCCCAGGTGAAGTTGGAAAGCGCTGAGTCAGGTATAGGAAAAAGGGAAGGTATTAAGTTTGATGTACCCTATGATCCTGTTAACGAGACCCTCTTTGGCTACTCAGCACAGCAGAAACCACTACTCCTCGAGGTGTTATGCAATGGGCGACGCCTCCAGGCACTGGTGGACAGCGGTGCATCTCACTCGGTGTGTGACCGCGGAGCATTGGAGAAAATTGGAGAGAAGGCGGAAGAGACCCAGTTTTCAGCAACCATGGTG